TCATATGGATGGCCAAACCCTACAGGTAGGTTAGGTGAAATTTCAAAAATTTCCTCTCCCCTTATCTGGGAATCGCATTCCCTGTTTTAGAAAATCTGCGTTTTCAAGGATCAATCTTGAAACATAAACCGAACCAGATCTGAAATCAGAAGTAGGAGAGGGATATACCTGATATGGAGAAACAATATCTCCCAATGGAGGTGTTCATGCCCAAGGAAGGAACCAAAGACTGCTCCCACTGAAGATGGCGCAGTGTAGGATGGAGCAGAATCAGTAGTGTTCTTCCAAAGAACCAAATCCTTTACAAGAACCAGTTGGACGGCACATGAGCACGACTTCCAATCAGCCCTTTCACAAAGGACTGATATCAAGAACCATTCTTGATCACTCCTACTGTCGTGGAGATGCACTGGCAATGGTGGCGGCGGCGGCAGGAAGGAGGCGTCCGGGAGAAATCAGCGTAGTCTTATTGGAAGTTGTTTTCTCTCTTCTGTAATCTCTTCTCTATAGGTGAGAATGTGATCTTTTTTTTTTTTTAATAGGCTGCCTCCCCCTCCTCCTTTTATAACCTTAAAGGAATCAGCTCCTAATCCCATTAGGAGTTGCTGATCCAAATCATATTTGGATATGAATTCCCTTTAAGTGATAAGGATAGACCCTTATCTAATTTGTAGATTAGATCAGCCCTCTCCTGATCTTATCAGGAGGTTTCTAGATTTGAATCATATTCAAATCTGGACTCTCTGAGTGGATAGGGTTAAGACCTTATCCTATTTGCTAACTGATCAAATCAGTCCAATTTGAAATGGGCTTTAGGCCCTATAAGTATATGTGCTCACTTAGCCTTCCAAACTGCTGCCCAATTGGGTTTCCTTGTATGGCGTGGGACCTAAGCATTGATCTACACATCAGCCACAAGGGTTCGGCCCAGCCTTTGTTACAAGCCCTGGCCGAATACACTATTAAAGATAGTGCACCCCCTGAAACCCATCGAATGGGCTCTATGGGCTAAACACTTACCCTAAGTGATCCCTGGGCCAAGCCACCTTGTAACACCCAGGGACTGTGGGCAGATGCAAGATTAGCCCATCAGG